GTAGCCGTAGATGCCGATGACGTCTCCTCTTGATCACCCTCCTGGCGACTCTCCTCATCTTCGACCTCTGACACCTTGGCGATCTTCCCAGGGCTCTTGTCCATTTTGTTGCCCGGTGTCTTCTCCTGCTGCTTCCTTGTGCAGTCCTTGCGGTAGTGGTCCGTGGCACCGCACTCGTAGCATCTGTTCTTGTCGTCCTTCGCGTCGTGGGCAAAGGTGCATTGCCGGCCTCTTCTGCATCCAACATCCGTGAGGTAGTACCGGCAAGGCTTTCTCTCTCGCGCCTCTCCCTCCTTTCTTGGAGCCCTGGATTCTCCTCCTTTTCCACCTCCATATCCATATCCAGCTCCAGCTCCCTCGAATTTCTTCACCTTGCTGTCGGCGTCCGTGGCCTTCGCGACCTTCTTCTCCGTGTGGACCAGCTGCTCCAGCTCCGACAGGAGATGCTCGCAGTATGTGCCGATGGTGCTGTAGTTCGGCACCGTATCCACCTGCAAGGTTGATCTGGCCAGGCTGATCTTGAAGTTCAGGTCCTTGTTGTTCTCCAGAACCTTCTTCGTCAGCCTCTGCAAACCTCTGTTCAACACCGACGGATCTGGAAGCGAGACGCCTATCTCTTCCGCCCTCCGCCTCCATCGAAGCCACCTCCTGATTCCCTGAACCGCCGCCTGAATGCTCGTCGCTTCCTGGGGCTGCTCCAGGTTCTTGAGAATGGCCGATCTCTCCGCCACTCCGCCGGGCTGGTACAGCAGCATCAGCCTGCAGATCAAAGAGAACACGTCCAGGCTCTTAGTCGCTATCAGCTCCTCTTTGACCTGATCCGGCAGGGCCTTCATGAGCAGAGTCACCGCCCGACGCTCCACCCGCCTCCACCTTCCATTGCACACCTCGCTCGGAGGTGTTGGAGTCAGCAGCAACCTCTGCAAGGGCGGCTCCGTCATGTACTTGTCGTACCACTTCTTGGTGTGCTTCAGCATCAGCTCCCACCATTCTTGGCTGGTGTCCGAGAGGTCCGCCATCACGGGGCCAACCATCGTCAACCAATCTTGGAGGTCGATCGGGCCGGTATCCGCGCTTAGCTCCGGCAGCATCGGCAGCTCCACCGCCGACTTCACCACCTCCGCATTCTCTTCCTCGCCCGTGTGGTTGTTGCCACCGTTCATGATTTTCTTCTGGATCTGCTGCATACCCTCCATGAGCTTCAAGATGATGTTGAGCTGGGCGTTCCCATCCGTTGTCTGCTCATCCTTGATCAGCTCCTCCGAAGGCTCCTGACTTTTCTCTCGTCTTCGTTCCTCTGGTCCGCCGTCGCGATGTCCTGGATCGGGCCCTCGTGCTTGTCCCCGCTTCTCCACCTCGACGTCTGGCGTCACGTAGGTCTCCTCAGACTGATTGCCCTTTCTGAGCCTGTCATTCTCGGCTCTGAGCCTCTGTATCTCCATCAAGAGGTACTCCTGCACCTGATCATGCCGTCGTGGAAGTCGGGCGCCTCCATCTGGTCCTGCTTGTGGTGTAGCCTCCTCTCTCTCCAGGAACTCCGGCCTTCTCAGTGTTGGCTCCTGAACTGCTGCTGCTGAGCTCAAATTCACCAGGCCTCCAGGCCTGTCCCACCTTTCCAGGTACTCCAGCTGCTCCCGGGTGAAGAGCGGCCCATACACGTCCGGTTCTCCTTGAGGTCCCCCACTCCACCTCTGAAGGTCTCCTTGTCCTCGACCAGGATCCGCAGACGATGCCCAGGGGTTCCCCGATGCCGCAGCTGCAGGCCACAAATTCCTTGGCCCCACATCTTCCGATCGCCTCGGTGCCGGCGTCCTTGTTGTAGCGCTATGGACCACCATTTCTTGACCCACCAGCTCCAGACCCCGACCCTCCTCCAGCGACCCATTCCCGAGCCCCGATTGGCCCGTCTCCTTTTCTTGACCATCACGTCCTTGCGAGCCCGCCTCCGTGATCACTGGCTCTTCGGCGTCCATCAACGGGAGCGGGGTCCCAGGATCTTGCCCTTCTGGAGCTCCCGGGCCTTCTCGTTCTTCCGGACCATCACCTGGTCCACGGCCCTTGCCATTGCGGCGCCGGGCCATCATCTCGCCGCCTTTGGGCTCATAACCTGCTAATCAGCGGGCTTTTCCTTGGGCAAAACGGCTTCCATTGTCGGATTTGTGCAGTTTTTATTTTTTGCGGGGGGGGGGGAGGGGGGGGGCTCTTTTTGTGTTTTGTTGGGGGGAGGGGGGGGGGTTGACTGTTTGCATTGTTATTGTTTTTTTCGCGGGCGCGGGAGGTTCTGTATGCGGAATCGTGTTAGAGGTTTCGGGCTGAACCGGTTTCGTTGGCACCATAAACCACTTGCTGCAGGGTTCACAGCGTCATTCCCTCATTCCCTGGTGAGAACCGGCAAGCTTGGGGGTGGGGGTTTGAGGAATGAGTTGTGTTTTCGGGGTGTGCAGCCTTTTCATCTTGTACAGCTGTGCCTCCCAATTCTATCTCATTCTCTAGGCAAAATGCCTACACAAGTGCGGCTTCCTTTAAAAACTCACAGGATGGATGGATGGATGGATGGATGGATGGATGGATGGATGGATGGATGGATGGATGGATGGATGGATGGATGGATGGATGGATGGATGGAAGGATGGATGGATGGATGGATGGATGGATGGATGGATGGATGGATGGATGGATGGATGGAGGGATGGATGGATGGATGGATGGATGGATGGATGGATGGATGGATGGATGGATGGATGGATGGATGGATGGATGGATGGATGGATGGATGGATGGGTGGGTGGATGGATGGATGGATGGATGGATGGATGGATGGATGGATGGATGGATGGATGGATGGATGGATGGATGGATGGATGGATGGATGGGTGGATGGGTGGATGGGTGGATGGGTGGATGGGTGGATGGGTGGATGGGTGAATGGATGCATGGATGCATGGATGCATGGATGCATGGATACATGGATGCATGGATGGATGGATGGATGCATGGATGCATGGATGGATGCATAGATGCATGGATGCATGGATGCATGGCTGCATGGCTGCATGGCTGCATGCATGCATGGATGCAGGGATGCATGGATGCATGGATGCATGCATGGATGGATGGATGGATGGATGGATGCATGGACGGACGGACGGACGTGCTGCTGAGTCGCAAAAGGGGCAACCTCTGTAGACTACGCCAGCAGCGCCGCCGAGTCACTTTTCACATGCCGAAGTTGCCCAAACGAGTGGTGGCAGCTTGAGGCAGCTATAGGCATCCCAAAAGCATGGTTGTGCCACGGTTGTGCCTTCTGCGTTGCAGTTGTCTGGCTAAAAAGCAAGCGCGTAACCTGGGTGCTTTTGGGAACGCCTAGCCTAGCTATCGATGTTTTTTCGTGAAAGATCCTTCCCGTGCCTTTGGCACGTAAGCAATCACGAACATGATGGACCTCCTTGAATCATTGGGGTTGGTTGTAAGGAAGGATCCTGTGACTGTGGTGGGCTCCGCTATTATGGAAAGTGTGATTCCAGAGGCAATCCAGGCAAACACGCCACACAAACGCAAGCTGGTGTTCTTTGTTTGGGGGGAGGGATTACCACATCAAAGCTTTAGCCTTTTGCTTTTGGTTGGGGTAGTTCATCTAAGCCCTTCCAAGCTCAAAGGTTAAACGCCTTAGATCAAGTCGCCCCGAAACCATTTGATTGATAATGCAATTATTCCACTTCAACAAACCAAGGCCCCGCAATGACACAAACGGGGTAGCCTACAAGAGCCACAGGTCCTCTTTAAATTGCCTGTCTTGGGGTCCTCGTTAATGGCAAGCTATGTTTTTGAATGGGATTGACACCAGAGTCTGTACTAAGATGACTATAATTTAAATGCAGCGCATACTAAGTAGCATGTTGCCAATGCCAAACTCAACATCACAAATCAACGAATAAGCACTGGCAGCACAAAACTAAGCACTGGACGTCTAAGATGAAGTATACAAGGTCCCACATTACATACTGCCAACAGCAGCGACAGATGGGTAGTGTTTTTTTTATTGGTGCTCGGGGCCTATACACTGCACACGTGCCTACGCGAGCGCCTACGCAACGCCTCCGCGACTGCAAGGGGTGCCTACGCGCGCAGGTTTGTCTCTTGTCGCGCCTACGCGGACGCCTACGCAAGAAAACCGCGCGCCGCTTTTTTCCAGCTCGAGCTTTGCAATGCCAAGTCAATCGTTGTCTGACACAGATGCAGATGATGTAGAAGAAGCAGATGTGGAAGATGATTGCGCCGCCAAAGCGTGATAACATGATTTCCCAGGGATCCCCTTTGTCGTGGCTCTGAATCAGAATTTGAGCAGTGTTTTTTTGGTGGTTCGGGGCCTATATGCGCGAAGGCCTACGCAAGCCTACGCGGCCTGCGAGCGATCACAAGTCAGCTTCCAGGTGCCCACCTACGCGGGCAAACGTTGAGTTCAAGTGTCGAAGCGCACAGTGGCAGCTCCAGCTGGAAAATCGCAACTTTTCACTGCAAGTGCAGTTTTGGCAGCTCCGGCTCTAAGATCAGAAATGCAGTACACGTGAGAATCCAACATCTGTCCAAGGATCTGGCTGCTAGAAAAGGTCTACGCACCCAGAATGCCTTGAAAGCCTACGCGAATGCCTACGCGGGGCCTACGCGGAGCCTACGCGAAGACTGCAGAACAAACCCATGCCCATCCATATGCATTGTAAGACATAAAGCTTCAGACAATACATAACAACTCCATCAAGTGCCTAAGGATGTGCGCGAAATGCCTACGCGATGCCTCCGCGCGCCTACGCCCCCATTCTAAATTGCCTATGATGCAGTTCCCTTTTTGTATAAATCCTTGCTTCCAAGAAAAAAAAACGCTGCCCAGATGCTGCTCAACTCCTTGCCTCAGACCCTCCAAGTGCAACATACCGATGTATCTTCTTGCGCGTGTGTAACGCCGTCAGTGCCATGATGCGTTGCGCATGCGTTGCGCATCCAGCCTCCCAAGACGCCTCAAAGGGCTGGAGGTCAACATGCCGCTGGTGGTTCCTGGCGTCTCCGGACGTGGAAAATCCCCAGAGTCAACCAGGAAAAGCGTGGCCTGCCCGACCGGGTCCACGAGTTTTCAACCAAAGATTGGTCAACGAGTAGATCTTGAGCTCAGTTGTTCAGTGACCCTGAAAAAAAAGGGAACCCTTTTTTGGGAAGACCATTTTAGTGATCCAGCCACCCAAAAAACAGGGAAAAAGGGAGCCACTGAACAACTGAGTGAGAGCACCGACCTCCGTCCCCTCAAAAACAAGGCCCCGGAGACCTGCAGATTTACCTGCCCCCCCCCTACCAAAAAAAAGTGAGACATCGCCAGCCCCGAAACCCCCCACCCCACCGACGGAAACTTCCCTGAAAGCCCTAAACATTCCCCAGCCTTCTGTGCGCCGATCTTTTTCCCCAAAACGCTTCCAGCTCAGAAAAGGCCAGCCTCGCCAGAGTTGCAATCCCCATCGAATCGAAGCACCCCCCAAACCCCACTGAGCGACATGCCTTGGATTCCACATGACAGGAAAAGAGCGCGCCACGTGCCAAACTGACCCCAAGATCACCTACGGTGCTCCTTTTCTACGTGAAGGGCCTTCATCCGGTATACAAAGAGTGACCAACATGTCCAAGAGGCAAAAAAAACTGAAGCCCTGGTACTGCGGATGGCTGCGAGACCTCCATTTCGCCCACCGAAATGAAACCTTGGTTAAAACCATAACGTGTGTTGGTATTCGCAGGGGATTCGAATCAGAAACCGGGGCCTTTTTCTTAGATGGTGCAGGATTTATACACCACTCACCTTGGTGGAGCTCTAGATGGGCGTTTCACATGTGCCATGGTCAAAACTCCTATGGAGCATGGTTGTTGGCTCCCATAATAAGATCCTTACCAGGTGGATGACCATCAAGTACGGGGGCCTTTTGACCATCGCACACATGGGTTCATACAACCAGCCTTCGAAAACCGCTTGTGGCTCTCCTGCCAGATCATCCTGGCTAGGGTTGAAGAGACGGCTTCGTTCATCTGCAAGCCAGCGCCGCATGTGCCTCAAAGACTCACTGGTGACTGGTGGTCCCTTGCTCCCTTGGTATCTTCATGGGTGTCTTCTTGCAGCTTACGAGCATGAAGCTGAACAAAAATACAGTACTTGAGAGCGCCAGTAGCCCTCTCCTAGTCTCTAATGTTCCGCTCTTAGTTTCTCAGGCCATGTTCGCTCCTAGTCTCTAATGTTCCGCTCTTAGTTAGAACACTTTACGGCACTTTGGCATGTCTCGGAATGGTAAGCGCAAATTCTCTCAAGGAGGTGCCGAGCTTGTAGAAAGCACTCACGGCAAGATTGGTTTCAGGGCATGTCAACTTCGTTTTGCGCCGTCTTCTTCATGTGCAGTTGACAAACCGGAGTGCCACAATGTATGTGCTCCACTCCAGTCACACCCCATCACAACAACGGTCACGTGCTATTCGGTTGTCTTGTTCACAGCTCTGCGAAATATGATATTTCACCAACAAATAAAACACACTAGGAAGGAGCGTTCTTCATGTGTAGGGTTAAACTGCCGGGTTGCAAGGTGAACATACAGTGGCCAGTTTCATGTCTTGTAGCCGTGCCATGTTGCGTTGTTGCATGATCTCGCTGTTCCACGCCCTTATCTCACTCCAGGCACGCACGTTCCGGCGCAACGACTGCTTCCACCGGTTCAAACAGCTAAAGGCCTGCAAAAGCGGGCATCTGGACCTCTGCACGCCCCTGCATCAGACTTAAGAACCTTCCCTTTTGAAGGGTCAATGGAAAATCCGGAAGATCCCAACCTTCCATTTGGTTAACACCCCTGGGAACAAATATTTCCAGTAGTGATGAATTCCTTTTAACACCAACGAGGGAAAATAAACATATTCTCAAGCAAATGGAAGCAACACATTCCAGCAGATCAGGGCAACAGTCACAGCAAAGGCCGTTGATTGCTTGCTCAAGCTTAGACTTGCGAGCCAGCAGCTTCGCGACGCATGTTACGAGTGCGATAGGGTTCTGCAACCAGCGGCCAAGAAATAGGCAGCGCAAAAAAGCTGGTCAGGATTTGGCGGATTGTTCTCTAGCATGAGTCACATGTAGTAAAGCCAGACCTATTGACAATTGATCGTCCCAGCCATTGACCATGCACAAGATAAGTCGGTCATTGATCTAGAATGTACCTGGTCCCTCAAACTACCCGAATAAAAATCGGTGATTGCAATCCAAAAATATGGTTTTGATGGGTAGTTTAAGGATCCAGGTATTCTTCCATTTGCTTTTCGTCCCCCTGGAAAAACTGAAAAGAAAACAAATCCCAAAGTGAAACCAATTCCCTTTAAAACTAGTTACAAGCCATACGAAGTATTCCAGTTCGTAGAAGACACGGCCGGCCTCTGCTCGCTGAAAGCCGAGTTGCATGGGCAGAGGCAGTCGCATAAAATAGTCCTGGCCGGATGAGAAATTTGGGTCATGTCAAACAAGCAAACAACTTGCAGTTGTTTGGAGCCCCCTTCTAAAAATGAACAGAACAATACAGCCAAGAAGCAAAACACCACAAAACTAGCCAAGAACAGTGAAGCACTGGCCCACCAAAGAAACCCTGGTCTCTGATTCGATCCCTAACTTAAATGCGATAGTTGCAATGGCTGCAACCATGGTTTCCAAGTGTCCATCCACAGTGGCAGCACTCTGCACTCAACTGCAGCCCGCATACCAGAACATCATATCTCATGTGTACTCGCATCAGCAACCAGTAACATGTAAACACAAGGTATGCTTGTTCAACAACAATCCATGAGTCTGGTGAAAGAAAAACAAAAACTGTAGTCTGGTGAAAGAAAAGAGCAAGTACCAACAAAAGGCCCCGACCAACTTGATAAGACACACTGCATCGGGTAGATGATGCCGTCACATTCCGAGATCGAAATGGTTTCCCCTTCCTCCATGGATTGGCCATATCCGTCCACTTGCTTCCCACATCACGGGAATGAGCAAAAATGACATCCAAGCCCGGGTGCCCATGTCCGCAGCTCGAACTCCTGTGACCCATCGGTGAATTCAGTCTGTCGGCAGGTCAAACACCTGCAAGGGATCCCCAAAGGACCATCAGGATCAGCTCCTTTAGCCCCCCCCCAAAAAACCGGTGAGCTCACTGGCAGTTTTTTGGCGCCCCAGCCCTCATTTTGGCCAGGCCTTCTCGCTGAGGAGATACAAATCCTCCGGCGTGACATGCAGCATCATGCAGACAATGCACGACATGTACATGCGTGTGTGTTTTGGAGGGAACCCGCTTTTGGGCGGTTCAAATTGAAACCAAAAGGACAACCGAATGTTTAGGGGTACCCCAAACAGGCCCAAACATAACGGTTGTCCTTTTTCCTTTCAAAATCAACCTGAAACGAGTACCCTCCAAAACAGAGACACAGACACAGACACAGACACAGACACAGACACACACACACACACACACACACACACACACACACACACACACACACACACACACACACACACACACACACACACACACACACACACACATGGCACAACGCTCACTCTCACTAACTGAAAGGGCAATGCAAAGGGAGCATTGCAGCATCGAGTTGATTGCAACATAAGTGAGGACAAGCTGTTGACTTGGGCCAAATTAGCGATCCTTTACGTCATAACTGCCTCGCTTAATATATCAACCACACTGGCAAACCACAAAGCAAGCATGGTGCCTGTGACAAAGGACGCCAAGATGATCCGGGATGTCTAAATGGTTGTATCCCACGGACCATGGGTGTAATTAAGTAGGTTACAGCCCGGGTTACTAAGCATTTCATTAGCTTCCGTCGCAGACCATCTAAGCGGCAGTTGGCGTGTCTCCGTTTGTCCCCAAGGTCCAGTTGGCCAACAAAGAAAGTCCACCTTCGCATCCCTCAATTCGATATCTCGGATCCCATTGGGGACGTCTGTGCATTTTCCGCCATCCGCAGGCTTTTGCACAACCTCAGGAATCAAAGACGCCTTTGAAACTCAACTGCTTCCCTAAACATCACCCCCGGATACTCACCTTCAATCGGCAGCCAAAAAGTGACGCTTAAACCCTCAACCTACTCATCACAAAGCGGCTCGTCACCCACCATAGTTCTGGGTGCAAACTATTTTTAGCGCGGGGTAGTAGTTCTTTCGCTAGGTCCTCAAGTAGAGAGGTTAGAATAAGGGTACTTTTTTTCTATTGGTAGGGGAACCCTCCCCCAAAAAAGAAATGGTAACAGGGCACTACTGGGGGACCTAGTTCGGGTCCAGGACGCGTCAAATGATCTCTACCAGTATCTTTCCAGAACCCAACTCGTGGCCATATTTTTCCGCACCTGTGCGCGTGCGCGCTCGCTCCACGCGAGCGCGACGCGCGCCTCCGTGGTCTGCAGCAGCTCTTCCTCCGCGAGGCGCTTGGCCCAGTGCAGCGCTGCCTTGGGGTCCACGTGGAGCTCCTCCGGACGAAGGGTTGGGGTTGGGGGGAGATTTGTGGGGTTCTGCATTTGGCTTAAATGGGGATACGTATACACATGTCGTGTAATGTCGTGTATTTATATAGATATATATATATATATGTATAGACTGCATACATACATATGTATATATATATATATATGTATACAAACCTTTTTTTTGGTTAGACTTGGATTCTCGAAATGAGCTTAGGTCCACTCAAAGATGTGGCTTCTCGTGGGTTCCTTTCGACCGTTGAGAAACTCCCCCACATGGGGTGAAATAAATGTTCAGAAACCTCTATTTTTTGAAGCCCCCCGGCAAAAATGAACATATATCCAGTAGTAACAACATCGTCTTAAGCAAATGGACGCAAACCACAGTCAAAACCAAACCATGCGGCGGCCAACCAGTTTAGCCAAATGGCCGAATCTAGTTTTCAGGAATGGAAGTCGTCCAAAGCAAAACACATGTGGGGCCTGTTTCTCTCTTGTTCAAGTGAAAACGATGTCTTTCTTGCCGCAATGACCTCACATAGATAGGGATCCATATCAAGCCACCTCTGCTTGCATATCCAAATGCGTGTGCAAGTGTGTACAAGTAGTCCCATGCCTCGAAACCTCATGACATGAATTCACCATTCTTCACTCACAACCCGAAAGGAATGATAGGATCCCAATACCCACAAGTCCAGCTTGATGGGGGGAGCACCATTTTTGGGAAATCCCCCCTAAACAGAGCAGGATATAGCCTCTTGCCATAGCCTCTATGTGGCTGCCCAGGCACCTCTCATTTGCTCCTTGGTCGGGCATGTCATCTGCTGCACCGGGGAAAGTTCTGGAGTTCGGGATTCGGCTTAGGATTGCCTCCTCACTTGCTGCGTGGCGTGGCCCAGAAAGTGGAAACTGCTTGGTGTGGCCACTAAATGATATATAGGTCTTCCTAAAAAGTCTGAAGTCCGCAAAACTCAGGGAATGAGCCTCTCTGACGGCCTATTCCGGAAAAAAACGCCAGTGAACGCCTGTGATCCACGGACCTGCATTCAAGTACATGGACCCTCAAACTACCCACAACAATGGGTTATTGCCCCAAATTATGGGGTGATTTCTATTTTTCAAGGGTAGTTTGAGAGTTCGGATAGATGTAAGCCCGCCCAACATGACACGCTTCGAAGCGCGATCCACCTAAAACGGCTGGACCATCCTTGACCCCAAAAACAGGGGACGCGAACTTTGGTCCAATATAGAAACAGTTTGCGGCTGTTCTTTCCTTTTTCGTTTTTTTTTTTTTTTTTTTTTTTTTTTTTTTTTTTTTTTTTTTTTGGGGGGGGGGGGGGGGACCAAAG